CCAGACCTTTTTTAAGGGCTGGCAGTGGATGCAAGGGGATCTCTTTGGAGATTTCTGCATACCTGAGCCCTTCCACAGGTAAGCAGCAGCTTCCCATTATTTCCAACAGCCCACGGCTGTTGCATTTGAGCAAATCCTCACTTGCTGCAGCCTGGGACCTTGCTGCTCTGCTGCACTTCCCATCGTGTTACAATTATGAACAAAGAGAAGAGACTCATTTAGACTAAACAACATCTGGACTTTCTCTTCACATATAAAAGAAAGCTATGCTATGAAAAACAAGCCATTGCAAAGCCACAGCTGTAGGAAAAAGTAGGAGAGATTCAGCATAAACATAAGATCCGTGTATGTGTACGTATACTTTTATCCCCATACAAACTTGTAAATTGCTTTACTTTCTGTACTTCATTACATTTCTACTGCCATGATCCATCTTCATACCATGCCTTTGGTTGAAAAGATTTTGAAACATTTTGCTCTGCCATCATAAACAAATCAGAAAATATTTTAAAACTGCACTCACATAACTTAACAACCATTCTAAAAATACAAATCTGCTAATAGATAAGAGCAGCTCTGTTGGTTTCAGATTTTATCTCTTTTCCTCACAACAGTCTTAACCATGCTCAGATGAAAAGGAGCAAAGAAGCACTGGAGAAGAGAGGTGTTGCCAGTTTCTTATGTAAACAAACAATCTTATTGAGTGACTTTCAATAAACCAGCTGCTAAACGTTTGCTCTGTATCATCACCACTCACAAAGCTCAGAGATTTGGCTCTACAGGCAGGTTTTAAAAAAGTGGTAAAGATTGAGAGGAAGAATGGTATGAAGCATTTAACTGTAGGTAGTGTCAACTCATTGCTTGTCACTTCAATGTTTGGTTGCAACACCTGCAGCTGTAGATACGACATTCCATCTAATGTGTCATAAGAATCACTCTATAAAACTCATTTCCTTCAATTGTACTTCAGAACAGATCTTGAGAAAGCTGCATTTCTGCAGCATAGTGAAAATATTAATTCCCATACAAGAGAGGCAAACTCAGAAGCATTAAATCAGATCCTGTGATTATTTTTAGTACGTGAGAATCATCACAAGCTTTATTCCAAGAAACAGCAGCAGAAAGGTCTGCACTCCCATGAAGGTAACAGACATTGAGAGTTAGGAAGAAAGATAACCTCATTTCTCAGATACGTTTATAATTTATTCTAAAGCTGCATCTTGAGATGGAGAAACTTTATACATCCATGGAGTCATAAAGATATGTGACCAAACAAAAGCGAATCGAGAGAAAACCTTCTCCCCTCAATAACTGCACAGATGCTTTCTACATAATATTTTGTTATTAAATAAATGCAGCTTAAATACTTTCCTTACAAAAAAATGGGAGCACTTCTTACAGCCATTTTTGCTATCAGGCAATGCCTGTGATGTGCAGTACTAAACAAAATATGAAATTTATACTTACAAGTCCCCACCAATAATCATGAGTATTAGAACAATTCTTTTGCAAAATATTTGTCAAAAACTTCCATAAACTTTGTAGACATCTATTCAGTATAAAACCTCTGGCATCATTTATTTAAAGTGAATTATACTTTTTTTTTTCCCTCCACTTTCATTATTCATCTGGGTACGGGTAGTGTTGAAACTGCAATAGCACTTTGCTGTCATATCATGGGAAAAAAATGAAACTAATAAGAATAATAAAATGCTAAAATGCCTACCACTTCCCTTTGTGTGTGTTTGCAGCTGCATAGCTGCTCAAGATACAATCCTGTGGCCATTTCAGAATCAAAGCGCATACAGATCAAAGTAGTTCATGAGAAATCACTGATGCACCTACGAGGTTCTGAGCTGCAATTCCACAAGGCATCATTTCCACTGAGGACAGTGAACTGTATTTTCACCCATGTCAAGGAAGATGAGGTTGTTTTCTAAAGTTTCACTGTCTGCTTTAGCTTGTAATTACTTAATGAGTTGTAGCTCTGCAAGTAGTCAAAAAAATACAAGAAAACAAAGCCTTTTCACACAAAACATTTGATCTTGTGATTTCATCTAATAGCAAGAGACTTCTAAATATGCTTATTTCTGCAGCAATGGAAAGAAATTTTCAGGAACAACCATTTTTCTGACAAAAATCTTACTGCTTACTGTATTTCTTACTCACAGACATGTTGTATATAAATGCATACAGACATATTGTTTAGAGAGAGAATCATAGAATGGTTTGGCTGAGAAAGGACTTTGAAGATCATCTTGTTCCAGGTCCCTGCCATGGGCAGGGTCACCTTCCACTTGATCAGGATGTCCAAAGCCTTGCCCAGCCTGACCTCCAGCACTTCCAGGGAACCAGGGAAGGGCGCATGCTGGTACTAAAGGTTTGGCTTCCAGAAAGTCAGCCTTGTTCCTCTATATCAGGCCTGCAGCAAGTCTGTTCCTGACATTCACATGTACTGACACTTCTGTGATCAGAAATGTATAGATGCCAAAGCAGTGAATCATCTGTACCATATAGCAAGCCATTTACACTTCTAAGGTCTACGTTTTGTAGCTGCCTTCATTTGCAATAAAAGCTGAACAGACCATCAGGAATATTACTTCTTATGCCAAAAATACATTCTGGTCATTTACTTCTAGCAATTCAGTCTCAATAGGAGAGAAGTGTCCGGAGATCCTTTTGGAGGAACTAAGAATGCAGAGCTTTTGCTCCACAGTTGCAGTCTGAAAGAAATGGTCAAAAGAATACGTGCTGGGGTTATGGTACAAGGGCAATATACTTATCAGGAGAATATTTTTAATCTCTTGGAGCACAAATCAGCCTTGATGGTTCTTCCAACTTCTGATTCCATCCAAACAAAGACAAGAATGAAAGCTCATTTTTACTAATACTTTACAATACTAATTCCATTACTAACTTTAAAATTAACCCCAAACCACTGCTATAAAACAACAGTAGTATAGACGTTAGTAAAGAGTATGTGACCTCTGAAATTGAGATGTTTTCCCACAGGGCTGACCTCAGTTTTAGGCAAAAGGATCATTCACACAAAGCAGAAGGTTGGGACTGCTCTCTGTCAATGCATCTGAGCAACGTGGGCCTTGAAACATCGCTAGTAATCTGGGCTCTTTGTATCCTTACTCTAACCCAAACATTAAACCTAAGCTTAATTACAGTCAAGGAATATCTGAAATAAATTAGGACCTCTTCAGCTATCTGCTGAGCTTCTCATTACAGTGCTGTTAACTAAAAAAAAGTTCAAAATCTACAGGCCACTAACCCACTTTACAAATATTGCCTGAAGGAGAGCACTACCATGTTTATTCTGCAATAATAGCACCCAGGAGGGGAATCAGTTCCAAACAGCCAGCAGACTGAAAATTCATACTTACTGTATTAAACATAGTTAATATTAGTAACTGTAAGCTGATATGTAGTGGTATTAATTATCTTCCATTTGTAAGCTTCCACGGCTTACAAATAACATTATAAATGAATCAGATGTTAAAATATTAAAAGATCAAGTTTAGTTGAGTGTACAATCAATGAATATACTGATGTTACAGTATAGCAGAGAGCTTGGCTATGAAGTTATCACACCAAAGCAGAAAAGACAGGACACTTACCCAAATCCTGGGTTTGCTCATGAAACTCCAGTGGAGTGGATCTCCAGAAGAGATCCTTCCCCACTGGTAATCAGCTCTTAAATGGGTCTGGGAGAGGTGGAGCCAGGCTCCACCCCTTCCTACAGCACAGGTGAATTGCCTTCACCTGTGCTCCTGTGGCTGACTCCTTGCTCACCTCAGGTGATCAATCAGAGGTTCAGCAGTTCCCATACAGTTGATAAACAATGTAATTTCTCTAAAGTTAAAAAGATACACTGCAAAGAATTTAAAGATTAAATGCTAGAGTTGGTATTAATTCCTGTAGCGATTTAAAATATTCTCTGTTGATGCTAAATATCTGCGAGATGATAAAAACAAAGGAATACAAACTTCATGCCTGTGACTTCCGAATGCCTCTATGAGGTTAGATAAGATATCATTACATTTAACTGAGTAGCTTTTCACAGAACTTCTCATTTGTTTTGGAATAATCTGTTATTCTTAGAAATTATTTCCAGAATTTTTATTTTAAACTGTCTAAACATGTGGAAATATTTTACATAGTCAGAAAGGGAAGAAGCGTAACAAGAGATAATCTTGTCATATGTGCATCTGGTGTATGTAAACCACTCCTGCTCAGAGAATATCAAACTTGTTGCATCCAAATTAGTTTTGTAATGTACAAGGTTAGCAAGAGTATTGTTCCACGGTAGGTAATGAAAAGCATCTCTGCTGTACCATTCCTCTGAATCCTGGTCAGATTTGAAAAATAACTGCTTGACACAAAAACGTGTGGCATCAAAGAAGTAAAATCCACATTGCAGATGTAATTTATGGCTATTTGAATGACAAATACCTCATACTAAACAGAGGTTGAATATAATTTCTGAGATGAAAACCAAGACTGAAGTTTTTTCCTCAGACTTGAGGAACATCTCACGGCTTCTCCTAAATCATAAATACTTTAAGTATCAGACAGGAGATGGCACTGTACACAACACAGCAGACCAGTATTTATTGCCTTGGGCTCAAATATACATTTTTCAAATTCATCTTCTCCTCCAAAATAGTCCAAAGCAACTCATCTTCCATGTAGATTGTCTGTTATGTATCCATTCTAAACTGAAAATGGTTTCATTTATTTGACAAGGAAAGATGAGCTGAAATCACTAGCTTTAATCTCTTTTTGTCTCTCCACTTAAAAAATGAAAAAACTTGGGTGGTTTGGTTTTTTGTCTCTGTTTTGGCTAATAACCCAAAGACAGAGATTTACAATGGGAATAGAACTCAGACCAATTATCACAAGGTGGTTAGACAACACCAAGCATACATTTACTTACTAAGTTTGACTGAAAAATCTACAGACGTTTCAACAATTATTTCAGATTCACTCACTTCAAAGTCTCCTCCAGTTTGTGAATTTTCTTCTGGGCATCCCCTCTTTCTTTATCAAGATCATTCCGGATGCCAAGGATCTACCATTTGAAAGAAGAAAAAAAATCATATTTCAGGTAAAACAAAGCCTGATATAAAAATGTTATTTTAAAATTCTAAACAGTATTTGTTTTACGTATTTCTTTAGTATTGATATAGACAACTACCTATCTATCTTGTTATACAGCAATACAGTCGCAACAACCAGTGAATTAAATCTGACTCCTACCTCCTTAGCTCAATAACCAGTAACAGATGTTTTCAAAGCATTTTTCAGATGAGGAAAGCTGCTTCAGCATTTAGCAACCTCCCCTAGTATGGTGCAAACCATAGGCTTTCACAATTCCTTTTTCCACAGGCAGATTAAGTGCAAGAACTTGCTTTACTTTTAGGATTGCTTAAGAAACATTGTCATGATGTGACTTACCAACCATGTTTTACTTTAAAGGAAGAGGAGCGTAGGAATTTTTTTTTCATCTACAATCATTTGCAATGTTACCTTTTATTAAGTTGCTAAGACATTATTTGTTCTTAGATTAACAGCATGCTCATAAGTGTAGGAAACATAATACTGAATTATAGGCACATACCCAATTGAAGGTGCCATGAATTTTTTTCATAATAATGATATTATGGAATTTCACTACTGTGAGCATTACTACACAGGTGTTTACTGTCCAGAATCCTGAATACCTAGATCATGTCAAAGAGCCTCAATATTGATGGGATGTCCAGAGAGTGAAGAAGGTATTCCCAATCTTGGCTAAGTTACACACATATATAAAAGCTGGCTCAAGAATGGCTCTCAGTAATAATCCATCACTGTTCTTACACTTAGTTGAATGTTTGGAAAACAAGTGGTAGATTATTTATAAAAAGCAGGTGTTTCCTTTGCTTGTAAAACCATTTAGCCTAACTGGTTCCTGATTCAGCAGATAAGCACATTTAATCAAACAGTGACATTTAGGGTTACTACCTATTATTTGTTTGATGTTTAAATATCCTAGCAGGCAATAGCCACTGTAGACCAATAAAGATTATTAGATAATGGGTATGTACTTAAGTGAACAGATTTCATCAGAGACTTCATGATTCCTCTACTTAAAGGCAAGCTTGGTTTTAGTGTTTTATGGGCCAATCTATAGCATTTTATGGTTTTATACCATACCCACGCTTCAAGATGTCAATGGTTAAAACAGACTCAAAAATAATGACAAAAATTAGAGTAAAGAGCACTGACAGTACTGTACCCTCTCAGCTGAATTCCTCTTAAAAGGAGTTAAATGGCTTACATTCCTTTTTCAAAACACTGGTGCAGTACATGTGCTAAATATTTTTATATCTTTATTCCCATTTGAAACCTGTTTCTCAGGCTGGCTGTTAGGTTTCATTATCCGCATATCCTTGTTCTGCACAAAATTCACTTTTGGGGAGGATTTCAGAATCTTGAAGTGCATAATACGATATATTTGCCTTCTATTATTACCTGCTTTTCATACACAGTCTCCAAGTGAAGCTTGTCTTGTTGAAGTTTATAGTCTTGATCCTGCAAATGAAGTGTACTTCTAATCAAATGAAATAAAGCTATGATGTTATTTCATTTCAAAGCAATCCTTAAACACACCCAGAACAGTCATAAGAGTTAAAAATCCTCTTTATATCATCACTAAGAAATACTGCAAGATTGACTTGTAGCTTTTATTTTAATTTACAGAAAATACACTACTATGTTTAGTATTTCATTAGCTTAAAGGGGCATCCAAAAAGACTTAAGATTACAGGCCTAGATCTTTGTCCACAAATTCAAGATGCAAGGAGCACTCTTACATTGTAACTCACTGAAACACTCTGACATACAAAAAAACTCAACAACCAACAGCAAAAGCATCCACAGCAAAACCATCTCAAAAGGCACCATTCAAGGTGCTGAAGAGAAAAACTTGCTCTCCTGAGCTGGTTTTTTGTACTACATCTGTAGTGAAATAAAAGACAAAGGAGGAATAGATGCCAAAACTTGAAGCATTGATACACAGTACAGACATGGAACTCAACCTGAAATAGAAGGATTAATCAGTGTCTGCTGTAAGATAAAAATTGAGCTGAACTGTTAGAAAGCAACAAGAAAAAGTTTTCCTTAATCAGCATAACTGCATCCTTTGACATGTTTATAATGCATTGATACATGCCCATGGTGTTAAATCGTGCTACAACATATGAATGAAGATAAAGCCACAAAGGTCCTATGAAAATTCTGCTCTTTTCCATTAAAAAGTGAGATGAGATCACTCTAAAGTTTACACCCTCTTTATATGAATAAAATACATGAGGATACATATTGTATAATACGTATTTTAGTATAGCTATCTAAATATTCAGATTAGTGGGAAAACATAAAAGGAGCTTGTCATTCCTGAGTGAGAAGTTCAGGGCTCACCCTCAGTTGTTGCTCTCTTTGATGTTCTGAAGCTTGTAACTGTTGTTTTAATAGACACACACTATGCTGTAACTCTTCAATCACATCAGATGCCTGCAAGGATTTAATAGAAGAAAGAATTTTTGTTTTGTGCTCCCATTAGCTCTACATCTTTTTGTCATTTTAAAGTAACTTTTCAAAGGTGCCTAGAAAAAGAAGTAAAAGTTTGCAACTTCAGATACTTTATATCTGTCCCTCCGGTGAACTTATAAATTCTAGATAACCACAAATAACAACTAAGACATTTTGCATCAACTTGGTACCAACAGTTAAAAGAAAGACAATCTTGCAAATGAAATGACCAATGCATCCTCAAGGCTCCCAGAATTCCACAAAAAAAAAAAAAATCTCATTTATCTTGTTGTTCCAAAGACTACTGGATTCAGTTGAAACTTTTTCTATATATTTCATATCATCAGTAGAATAAATGCCATATACTACCTATGCACACTGGTAGACATCAGCCCGACAGACATTTTTATGTAAACAGATTTATTACATTTTGGGCAGAATATATATTCACAAAATTCTAGAATATCTTCCTAAATACATAAATATTTAAACATAATGTTCCACATTAAGGAAACCCGCAAGACACTTTATTACTGGAAATAAATATTTTCCCTCAACATCCCTTTGAGGACAGCTTACTGAAGTGGCCTTATAAGGACCCTAGGTCTTTAAGTGTGTGGAGATCTTCTGGCATTCAGAATTTTTTCATAAGTACAAGGAAAATCAGCATATTAATTGTACCTTACCTGCATCAGCTATAGAAACACCACTTGTACGTACATCCCAAAATTGTCATTTTCAGTCATTTCAGTCAAAGTTGGGAATGAAAAATAAACCACTTTTAGTTTTATACTTACGTACATGAATAAAATGCAACTGAACATCTCTTGGATTTATTCATATGCGTTTTACTTACACTGAGGAGACCACTTCGAAAATAAACAACATTTAAATGGAATATGCATGAAAGTGTACCTTAGCTGCAGAGAGAGCATGCTCCTGCTTCATAACATTTATATCAACATCATATTTACTTTGTAGTTGCTGAATGCTCTCCTCATATTCCTGTACAATACGGTCCTTGCCTTCCAGAAACAACTTGTGCCTGTGAGTAGTAGTAAGCAAACAAAATATGAAAATTGCTTTCATGTTTTGGCATTTTACATGCTCAGCATCAGTTTTTACAGCGTTTTCAAGTTTGACTGTACCACGTGCTCCTTGTAAGAGAATGAAATGCTTACAAATAATATACAAAATACAACACTTAAAATTGTCATTTGGGCCAGCTGCAAAATGAGGCTTTTATGCACCAATTAATAGATTTTTTTTTATGACAATTCACTAATGCAAATGACCATTCACTGAGTTATTAAATGAAAACAACTACAGTTTGCTTTTGGAGGTTCTGTATTCTTCAATGTTAAAAACAGCAACTGCTACTTAATTACCTTGCTTTCATTTCCTGAAGCTCAGAGCATACTGCCTGGTAACATTGTTCTGCTTCGGTCTTTTCCTGGGATAACTTTTGACGCTGTAAATTACTGTTTTCAGCCTCAACCATCAACTGTTGCACTCGAGCCTCCAGATTTTTGACAGTCTGGTTCTGAAACAATAGACCATTGTTAAGAAATCACCAGAATAAATTAGTGTATACCCCTGTTGTTATCCAACAGCCTTAAGCAACAACGTCCTTTGGTGAGCAGAGACACAAGGGTTAAAACAGCAAAGTTATCATCAATTGTGATAGTAAAATCTATGCTGTATATATATACACCAAAAACCCCACCAAAATAATAACTAAAAAGAGTAGTGACCTCTGCATTATATGTAACAATATGCATGACCAATTGCATGACAAATCTTTTAAAAGAAGAGTTAAGATACAGCAACAGGTACAGATACTGAGGAAATAAGGATGATTATAATACAGATGATGCATGAACAGTGCAAACTTTATCCAGTTGAGTTTTATCTAGTTGAGCATCAGGAGGTGCTGGAGTAGGTGCTGCAGTGAATTATGTAGTCTAGAGTGGTCACAAGCATGGGCTGATGGTTGGACTAGATGATCTTATTGGTCTTTCCAACCTTAATGATTCCACGTTTGTTTAATTACAGTGAACATTCTCCAATAAACTACAAATATCTTCCCCCCATAATGTTAACTCTTAATATAAACAGTTCTAAAAATGAGCAGTTAGTTCCTGATTACTTGCTCCTTCTACTAAACCACTTCCCACTCTTCCCTAAACTTATGTTGATCTGCACGGAAATGACTGAAGAATTCCACAGGAGGCTGGAGTCATAAAATAAGACACAGCTGCCCTCCAGGATGTACATGTTGTTATTTCTATATTAACAAAGGTCTGAATATGAGGGAAATGGAAAAACATTTTCACTCTTTGCTGAAGTAAAATGAAAATAACTCCAACAACTGCCCTCAGAAGTGAGTGCCCCAGCTGCCATGACATCTACATGAGCCTGTAGTAAAGCAAGAGCCTCATACAGTCGGAGTGGCCAGCTGAACTTTGGCAAAAGACTTAAGATATTTTTTGAAAATAGGACAGAAGTTCTTCCATCAGTATAAAGCCAGCTCAGTCTGGTGCCGTTTTGGTTGGTTGGGTTTTGTTTCTTTTCAATCAGTCACACAGATATAATGCCAAGCATCGTAACTCCTCCCTGTGGCCCCACCCTCAGGAAGTTAATATTTATACTTGCTTAATGCACAAAATCCTATTTTATGAGCAATGTTGCTCAGTCAATTTCACTTGCTAACAGCACTGGCATCCTTGACAATGCAAAACTCTGAAGAAATCCCTGAAATACCAAGGAAATAAAAAAAAGAAAAATAAAAGAACACAACCAAGAGAGAGAAAAAAAGAAAACTAATTTCCAATGACAGGGTAGTCTTTCATCTTAAGCCCTGCCTTGAACTCTACCTTGTTTAATTATTAAATCAGAAGCTGCTCAGCAAGATCTGTCTAGTTTTGATGGTTCTTAAATTCAATCTTGCTGACAGACTGTGTCCATTTTTCTCTGTATTTACTGTTACCTATGACATGATCTGAATACTAATTTTTAAATTCAACATTCATTAATAAGGGAATAAAGTTTTTTGACATTGTCCTTTCACTCATTCAGCACTGATAAAAAGAACAGCATGCTTTCTAGAATTCTTGTTAATTTTTTGCTTTCTACATTGCTTACACATTAAATTATTTCATCTGTCATATTCAATTCCTTGGATTTTTCTCTTTCCACAACACAGATTTCCACTTAAATCAAGTGTGTCCATGTAATTCTGCAGTCAGGGAAGAACTTGTTTCTTTTTGACAAACTGACGGTCATCACAAATTGGTTTTTGCCTATAAGAACATCACTTAGATGCACAATAAAAGGAATGGGAATAAAAGTAATAACAGATTTTTAGATAAGCAAAAGTTAAAACTGATATCCAAAATAAAGAAATACTAGAAAAGGTATCTCAGAAGGATACACGGAATTCAATATTGATCTTGCATTTTCAAAAAAAGATAGACTTGAAATCTTTCTAATCAATATCTGTGTTCAGCAGTCTCCTTCTACGTCAGACAAAAACTGAGAGGGAAAAAGCATTCAGAAAGTAACTCAACAATACGGCCTGGGGCTGATGATGCCTTCCTACAAATTGTTGTATACTTTACATAATTACAAACCTTGTATGCTGGAACAAGACCCACTTGAAAGGCTTGGCATAGGATTACGCTTCCCTACAGAGTAAAGTTGAGGCTGATGATTAAATCTCCCCCCTACCATCTTATCATCATTCACCAGCAGACATTTATCTATCACACCAATATGACTGATACAATAAACTTTTTAAAGCTAAACTAAGATCAAAAAGATTGAGACACATGATTAAATAGTGTTTCCAGACTGCTGTTAGAGTGCTGATAGAGTTTTATAGGCAGTTTAAAAAAATGCACAAAACTCCAAGATACACTTGCTGCTGTGACACATTTACAAAAAGCTTACAGTTGACTCTATTTGTTCCATATAGTCTTCCTCCATTTTGCTAAGACGAGCATTGGTGACCTCAAGCAGGTCCTTCATGTCTTCTGCATGCTTCTTCCTAATACCAAACTTCTCCTTTTCCATTTCAGCCACAGCATTGTGAAGCTGCATCACAAAAAGCATACAAACTATTAATAATTAATTATATATAATAAATCAAATAATAAAATTGCATATAAACTAGCACTTATAAATATTCTATTATCATACTATACCAACAGAACATCTGACAAGTGAAGGCTACATTTCTGTCCTGTATAACATAACCATATCATTCTCACTAAAAAGATCTACTGTTACCCCTTCATAGCATAGTTTACAGATACTTTTAAAAACAAAACATTTATTGTATTTCCATCATACTTCACTCTATCATCTTCTATAAGATAAATGCATCAATTTAGCTTCTATGGTTTTGTTAAATCGGAATTTATATTAGCACCTTAATTAGCCTTCTCAATATATGCTTGCATCACTGATGGCAATTACAGTTGCTGTGTAACTACAGCAAGTGGGATGATCTTAGACTGAAAAGAATACTTCTCTAAAATGAAACACTGAAGTGCCAAGGTTTGAGGCACAAAGGACAAGATTTACCATTTTTCTTCCAAAAGACAAAAATTCAAATTAATGCCCTTCTAAGTGCAAGGGCTGCAAAAAAAAAACCAAAAAACAAAAAAGAAGCAGCACTGTTCATCTCCAAGGAGGTCACTCTGCCCTTCTTGTGACCCTCCCACTTCTGAGACGGATAAACAAGACAAACACTGACAATAACCTGGGCAAAGGTGAAGCTCTACTGCAGCGAACATGCTTTTCTTTGCCTTGCTGCTGCCTTGAGCCTAACAGTACATAAAAATATCTTGAAGAATTCATGACCCAATGCAAAAGTACTAGTTCAAAGGAATTGTGGTGACAGCAGGTAGAAGCAGGTTTACTGAGATTAAAATTCCATGCCAGGTCAACCAGAAATAAACACTTCCCTAATACATCCCAAGGCTCACCAAGGGGGCCAGGTGGAGCCCAGGATCAAATTATAGAACGTCCAGCAGGTGGGGGCAGGAGGTGGGCAAAAATTGGCAAGAAGAGCCTTGAGAGACTACTCTACACATAAATAAAATCAACACAGGAAAGTATCTCTAAGACTAACATATTCTATTCTCTATATTTTTTAAAGCAACAAAATGTATTCTCACAGATGTACATTTTCATTGTGAAGCATTATTCATTACCCTTTTCTCCCACTCATTGTTCAAAGACTCAGTGCTTTTCTCGCACATCTTCTTTAACTCTACAATCTGCTTTTCCATTGCTTCTCTGATGACTTGTGACTCACGGAGTAGGGTCTGAACTGTCAAAAATAGGAAAATAAACAACCATTCATGGAAGATCCTTGGGATTTTTCCACTGTTGGCAACTGATGCAATCAGATTACAACAATTTTCAATTGACCTGGCTTTCCTCATGTTTTTCTGCTGTTAAAAATACTTCATGCAAGTGATTTACAACTTAGTACTTAAATCCTATGTCACTAAAATAGTACAAGGTGTTTTCTATTATATTTAGAAAATATTTCAGTGAGGTTTTTCTTACTCTAGCAGTGAAGAAACATCAAAAAGAATCCACAGAATCTAAAGAAAACAGGCATTTTTAACCTGATTTTGTGTGCACCCAGAAAGAGGTTCTCATGTGGGCTGAAGGACCAAAATACTCAAATTGCAACTGGTTGCACCAAGAACACAGAGACTGATGTTTGTGGAAAACAGAGCAGGAACACATGCATTTTTCAGAAATGACTGATGATTTTCAATGTTTGACAAGAGTGCAGGTGACTCTAATGTAACCCACTGCAGCTGAGGACAGCTACCAGCAGCAGCACTGGATTGCTAGCAGGACAATTCACTTTGTAGGGAGCAGGTAAGAATATACATGGCACCCTCTCCCTTTCTGCACCTAGTTTACCAGACTTGTGGATGGAACCACAATGTAAAATAATACACACATAAATACACTCCAAGGAATTCTAGAAAAAAAGTAACATTCAGAAACCGCTGACAAGCCACAATCAGATGGGCCAAATTTCATACTTACAACACATTCAAGACTACTACTGATGTCTGAAATCTCTTGCCACAATAGACCAAAATAAATAATACATTGTGGTTTGATTAAAATGTACTGAATGTATAAATAAATTAACCTTGAACCAGAGATTCCAAAAATTTGGAAGAAGTGGTCAAAATACTTCAGTATCAAAGAAATTTTTTTCAGTGGCACTTATAAAAGGCTGAGTATTAAACATAAGATCACGCTGTCTCTTGGAAAATTTGGTTTGGCAGCTAGACAACTAGCAAAGGCAACCACACAAGCCTCTCAAGTCTAAAGGGAAAAACAAGGGCAAGACCTGCAAACAAAGAGGGAAAGTATGTTTGTACCTAAAATGGACACACAGGCTCACGGCCACAAAGAGGATGTAGTATAAAATCACCATGCAAAAATAAATAAATAAAATAAAAGCCAACCGCAGAGAAAAAAAAAAAAAAAATCACCTTTCTTCTCCAGTTTTCTAATTGTCTCCTCAGCTTCATTTTGTTTGGATTTGTGGAGGGATTTCAACAACTCTATTTCGTCATTCTTCCGATCCAAAATCTGCAGTGAAGATTCACAGCACTGTAACAAACTTCTGAAAGCATGAAGCCACAGCCAGTGCATGGAGTAATATACACTGATACCTGTCAAAGGAACTGCTTTTAAGATATGCTTAGATCTTGCAGGGTAAGCAATGAAATAAGTAATTTTCATAGCTGAGACTGCCAAGTTATAAACAAAGGACTGATTTAGGTAAAAGCAGGCATAGAGCAGATTAAAAAGGACTTTCATGTTTTAGGAGCATCTTTTTGTTTTCTTTTAAATTCGGGCAAATGCAGTGTTGCAATTACAAGACAAAAATTCAGTGGTGTTCTAGAAGAATTTGGAAGTTTCCCAGTGCTACTACTGCAAATAGAAATGATTTTTAAGATTTGTACTGACTAATACTACTTAAAAGCATTAAAATTCTCAGCAAAAATTCAAAATTCTCATTCAAAATGCTTGAATCCCTGATGAACTTCAGTAGACTCTTACAAACAATTGTTCTCAGTGAAGTCACAGACCAAGTCCATGAAGTGTAACCACATTTACATTTCTGTACATGGTGATTTTGGAAAAAAGTTTGAATGGTTGCACACTTTGAGATACCATTTTAATTGAAACTTCACGTTTAGGATAAACAATAAAGCCACAGAAATTTTATAGCGGTGCCCCAAATCTCTCAAACAGAAGCTTTCATCTTAAAACAATATTATTCCATCTGCATTAAATGCTTTGTGTCTTTAAAGATTAATACGACACTATTTAACCTTTTCTGAAACATCCAATATTATTAAACAACTTCAAAAGATGGAATTCTAACATTAGTTAGAAAAGGATGACAACTCAAGGGATGAGAAAGCATTTCAGCTATTTCTTATTCTCACAAAGCTGTTTCCTTTATTCTCTCATCTTTGCTAGCCAGTTCTGCTTGCAGACATGGAGAACAGATGAGCCAAAAACGCACCTGACCAAATATTCACATCCTTTTAGGAGGCTTTGATGTGTCACAATGTTGTGTCAACTCACTTCCTCCCGGTCTGTGACTCAGACTTAAGAAACAAAACTGAGATATTCAGAAACATAGAGCTGGAAGCAGGGTAAGTCTTGGTGCTCCTGTGCACTTCATTCCCATTGCAGTGCTGGATCAGAGCCTCCAAAAGGCACTCAGTGACTCAGTCTGACTCCATGCACTTACAAGGTAGTGTTAAAGATAACATTACCGTCTATGACAGAACTTTTTTTTTAAAGCTTCCCCAAAGGTGGTGTCGTGCAATACAATAAAGACAAATTTAACTTAAGCTGAGGGATGTGTATCTGGTAGCATTTTATTGCTGAGAAGAGTTAAAAGGAACATGCAGCCTTAATGATGCAATAACATAAATGAAGACTGTTTACAGACCAGCCTACGCTTTAAGCACTACTGCTGTTGTTAGTAGGAACATGTGATGAACATTCATATTACCCTACTGCTCTTTTGGGGTTTCGGCCATAAAAAATAAATTCCTTTACATATTTTTCTGCACCATTTCCCACAAGTATCTTCTATTTAAAACAAAAATTACAAGTTGATCATTTCACCAGAACACGAATCTGTTGAGGCTTCGAGGCTCCTAACATGGGTTGTCTTGTTTAATAAATAAAAACCCACCCCATCTTGTATTTTCCATCTGCTTCCTGCAGGTATTTTCCACTTCCCAAGTTCACCTTATAATATTCCACATTCATATCAGCTTCTGCAAACTGTTACCTACAATCTTAACTTAAAGGAAAACATAGAGTTGTTGTTACTGTAAGTAACAATTGTAATAAATTACTCAAAATAAGTTGTCTGTTATTTTGTCCTAGATATCATTCCTGGAAAGAATGAAAAACAGTCCTTACCTTTTGAACATTAGAATCATGCTTCTGCTGTAATTGAAGTCTTTCTTCATGAAATTTACCTTCCATCATTTTCATTTTCATGTCTAGCTTTAAAAATACAATAGAACCAATAAACAGCTTAATTAAAATAAAGAATAAAATCAATGACCTTTGCATAACCTTTAAACAATTCACTGGTGTCTTTCAGAAGGCAATGGGAAGTCCCTAACAAATACCTGCTATGAAAAATAATCAATATTCAGTTCTCCAGCATTTTCTTGTTTATCTGATAAAGCCTTAACAGAAGGCCTCAACCTAAAATATTTATTTAGAAAATGAATTGGGAAGATGTTTTCATTGGCAATGAAAACAACTGCTATTGCCCAAAAAAAGCTATCATCTTTTGTCTAAATAAGCACTTAAGAATGAAGCTTTTCATATTTATGTTAATACACCAAGTATGGGAAGCGTGCCTTCACCATTTAGGCAGGTGTTACATTTACACAAAGAACATCCCCTAGCCCAGATGCACGTTTATTTTTGTTTGTTTTCTATTATTCAGAGATCTCTCATTATAAACACATTTCCTTTTTAAGGTTACTCATAACAGGACCAAGATTGCTGCTGAATTTGATTGTTCAAATCCATTTCCTGCTGCTGCTTGCATTTGTTCAAAGCTGGGTATTTACCTCGTCCCAACAATGACACTTTGTTGCTCATCACTTACAGCCTTAAAAGTATTTTTAATTTCTTGCATATCTGCCTTTACAGCTTATCCCAAGTCTGCAAATACGAAAGGTATTTTGTGTCCCTGAGTTCCAACAAAGCAAAACTGGCACCTCAGGTTCAGCTCCAGGCTGTCCCACACATCTGCTTTTTGCTGTTCCCCCCATTCAGACACAACAAAGCTGCCAGAAAAGCTCCCAAACCACAGTACATCCCAGCAACCCACCACATCACACAGGAGGGACCACAACCTCAACACAAGGCACCAAAGCAGTCTCTTGCCAGCATCCAAGAGCCTGCAGAGCTGAGGTCCACCTGCCTTGCAGGCCCCCACCTCCTCACAGCTCTCAGTCTCACTTCTGCATGGCCCAGCCAGCAGCCCAGCTGCTCACCTCAGCTGATGAACTCCAAACAAACCAATAATTGTAAGCCACCGTGCCCCTATTTTCACTCCTTTGACTTACCCAAAGCGGTCATCCCAACACGAATATTTAACATATAAGAGCAATAAATACACTGCAAATTATTGATTTCTATTCATTCTGAATAGAATTGCTTTATTGTATGTATCTGCTCACTGCAACTTGCAGAAACACTTTTTTTTTTTTTTTTGGAAAAAACCTACAAAACTCCAAAGCAACACTCAACCACAAACACAAGATGCAGTGTAATAAATACTGAAGATTCCCTATGATCTGGAAGCAGAAGGACAGCAAACACTGTCGATTTCCAGATTCCACATCCACCAATGCCCGACGCACACGCCTGCCAGTTACACCACACAAAGGTTCTTATTTATCTCTCAGGGCTGAAGACTCACACAGTCTTATGCAAATCACCAAAAAAATCAAGTTGGATTGACAATTAATCCAAAGGAAAGGCAAAGTGTGCTCAGCTCTCAGACAGCTCTTCTCATTCAAAAATAAGCATCAAAATAAAAACGCACGTTCTGTTCATAAAATATATGCATACGCATATATGTGAAAAGAAAAAGATGCATATATCCCTCAAAATTTGACATTATAGAAGAAAAATCTTACCATCAGGTGATAAATAAGTGTGCCTTAAAATAAAGAGCAAGTAATCCACCTCCAGATAGACATTTTGTGAATATTCCATAAATAAATATGAAGGACTTGTAAAAACACAAATACTGGAAACTAAATTCCAATCAACTTGAATTACATTAAAAGCTTATGAACTACTGATTTGTAGCTATTGCACCCTCATCCCTATCAAACACAAACATGTTACATTTAAAACTTAAAGTGAGAGTGTCTTGGCTTATAGAAATAAATCTTAGGCATTTTGCATCAGTGAAGATCTGTCCTGTGCTTCTTATTATTCTGTATATTGAAAGAACATAAAAATGAGCCTAAGTAAAATTTGTCTTTCATGAAATATGGGCATACATTTCCAAGTGATGGTGATTGTTCTCAGTCCTGCTGTTTTCTCCACAGGTTGACAGCAGAAATCCCTGTACTTGAAATTGACTTCCACTTCATAACTAATTTCAGGAGGATGGATCTTGCATAAAATTTCACACAGTTTGGGACTACTTTCTGAAAAGGATTGACAGCTCATCTCAGGGGAGCTAACTGCAATCAAACAGCACAAACTGAATAAGCGTGTCCAAGATATAGAAGTCTACTCTTAAAGTACTGTAGTAACAAAATTATTTATATCTATCTATCTATCTATCTATCTATCTATCTATCTATCTATCTATATAAACTCTCTCTTACTTGAGAAATCCTAAAGACCAACAAGGAATCATTCCAAAGCTGAAAAGGATACCTGCAAAAGCACCCATGGTTCTCAACTTCCACAAACTCATGGCAAAATCCTCAAGTCTCAGCACTCCAAACATTCTTCAGCCCTGTTTGTTTCATCCACAGCTCAGAAAATTTTGTCACTTCATTACATACTGATCAAATAAACATCAGGGAGCCCAATTTTAAAATGTCTAGAATTCAATAACTCACGTGCACATGAAGTTTTCAGCTAGTTTCAAGACAAAAATCTGTGTTTGTAGTGAGTAGCTGGTAATAATAATACCAGACAACAAATTTGATAAGGGTTCGATACTTCCAACACACCTTCAGCAGTTTTTAGTGCAACTTCTGGAAATGTCAATGCAAGTATTTGCTGTAAAAATACAGATATTAGCTTTAAAACACGACATTTGTGATTTGTTCTGTGAAAACCTGTGAGAAAGCCAAGAAGCACAGCAACAACAGAGGGAAATTTTTGGCCCACCCTCTGGAAGCTGGCCTTACCCCAGCTCTGTGCAAGGCGTAAAGGAAGAAATACGGAGTAGGACGAAAACATTTTAGAAAAGGATCTCATTAAGGCTGGGTTTGAAGCAGATGAGCTCACTTCACTATTGGGTGCAACTTCTCCCCTGCGATTTTTGAGTTTTAATCCTTTAACAAAGGAGTATCTCAGTAATGACAACCACACTAACAGAGCTAAGCCCGTATCTGTTGCCACCAAATTCCAAACCTCCCATCCTAAGTCAGCCTCAGCCACCATGGCACTTGATAACTTTACATGCTGCTCTGCTCCTCTTCTATAAAGTGCTCTTCCCACTTGGGTGCTGAACACATTGAGAAACAAACTCACCGCAGTAACAAACCAACACATCCCTCAGTTTGAGGAAAAAAACAGGTAAAAGCAGCTTAGAAAAACATAAGTCATCCATTTCATTAGGAGCAAACAGTAGAACTGATGAGTGTCAGGACTAATGTTTTATCACCAGCAGCAGAGAACATTAAGCTTATGACATCTTACCACTGAAACAAAGGTCCCTTCCAACCCCTGACATTCTGTGATTCTGTGAAACAAAAAACACCACCCAGCTATTGTGTAGATATTTGGCTATATTGCAGAAGTTTGCAACTATGTATGAAATGCAGCCACTGCTATCCTGACCACCATTCCTTTGGATTTCTGTCATTGTTTACTCTCCTTACAAAGAGTATGAGGCAATTAAACCCTAAGGCCATGTAAACATCACTGATGTCAAACATCTGTGCTGTCCCTGTTATTTAAAGCCATGGAGAACAGAACTGCTTTGATGGGCCTCCTCACACTTTCTTCCTGATTTAAAGAACAAAACAACCAACAAACAAAAATACCCTCACGTACACTAAAAGCAGTAAGCAGTTACCTTACAGCAGATTTTCCTCATATCGCTGTCTCACAATTCCACATGCAGGTTAGTTACCATGAAAATTTTAATAGCTGTCAAACTAAAGCTGATAGAGCAACCTGCGAGTGTCAGAAATCTTTGGAAAAATAAAGGTGATATCCCCGGTTTTCTTTGTGACAAAAGACAAATATTCATCTTGTCACTATCTAAAAAAAGTAATCTAGAAATATTCGAAGACCTGATTGTAAAGTCAGACTCCAAGTAAAGGAACAATGTGGATTTGAGGCTGTAGTTCAGAGACAGCTTTGAAACACTGCTCACCCTTCATTTGCTTTCATTCCAGGGATCCCCCTTGGGCCAGAGGTGGCATTGTGAAGCCCTAACATCCATCAGAGGTTTTTGGATATTTGACAAAACAGTATTGTTTGCCTGCCAGATATTTTCCAAGTCTATGAATATATGGGAGACAGAGAAGGAGAGGAAAGGGGGAGAATGATGTAAACAAGAAATGAGAACTTCAAAGTGAGAGCTAACAATGTGGAACAATGACTCGTGTATCTTACAATGTCCAACAAAACTTATTTGTCTTGCTGTAATGCAGCTGCTTTAAGAAATCAGTTCACAATACAAAGCTTTGATATTATCATGGAGGAAAGAGATTTCTTTAAAAAAACAACTAGAAACACACTCAAGTTGAACATGGCAAGAGATACTGTACTAGAAAAATACCCAAGACTATGAACAAATACAACTGCACAAAAGCAATAGTGCAGCTCTGATTATAACTAACAAGGAATTTTTTCATTGTGTTCTTCTTGTATTTTGTATTGTACCCTCAAACCTGTCCAAGAAAAAACTTTGAGGTGTACTAACACTTCAATTTTTAACATTTAGAGAAGCTTAAGAGGCAAAATAGCTAGGGAATATGCATACATGTGTACATGCCACTGCAGAGAAAGAAAAAAGTGAAAGAAATTAGTATTTTACAGTAACTCATTTGAATAGAAATGTATGCATGGGATCTATGTTTTAGCATCACTTCTATTTATCAAGCACCCTCTACTCACATACACACACCTTACTGTAGATCAGTATTCATCTACTCTTGCAAGTGTTTTTAATCAAGGAAAAGGGGCATTATATTATGAAAAGAAAAAGGCAATAAGACATCAGATGGATGTAGAAATTCACTTTATCTTTCACACGTTTATGAGCTCAGCTATCATAT